CCGCGGCCCCCAGCCCCGGCCGGTCCAGTAGCCGGCGGCCCCGCGCCTGCACCCCGGTTGCTGGGCCCGCCTCCGCTCTCCAGGCGCCTCCCCCAGCCCGGCCTCCTCGGAAGGAGGAGGGGCGACGGGCCACCCCTGCGACGGGTGGTGGGGCCGCCCAGTGCCAAGAGCTGCACGATCGGGTGTCCTCTATCTTGTCCCCAGGGACATCGCGACCCCACTCGGCCCTGCGAGGAGGGGCGAGAGGCCTCTTTGCAAGGCGAGCCTGACACCGGGGCTGTGCATTCCGAAGATCCCCCCTTCATGCAGCCCGTCCAGGCGGGAGGCTGCCCCGTGAGGCTGGATTAGTCAGGATTGTCTCTGGGGGGCTCGATTAGGACCCCCATTCTTTAGGGAGCCCAGGAAGGACCCCTGCTCCCCGTGGGACCCCATCAATCAAGACCCCCGTTTCTCGTGGAGCTCGGTGAGGGCCCCCGTCCTCTGTGAAGCCCAGTCAAGACCCTCGCGTCCTTTAGGGTCCGTCTGGTTAGAACCCCCGTCCTAGATGGGGTTCTGCAAGCCAGAGCCGCCATCGCCCGTGGGGATCTCTGGGACCTCTGCTCCCCCACTCGATGGGGATTTCTGTGTCCCGTGGAGCTTAGGAGGACCCCCCACCCCATTTTCCAGTGAATTGGGGCGCCCGTGTATGGGAAGCCCATTGTATCTGAACACTGCCCAGCTGCTCAGTAATCACAGGGTTCCTTCTTCCAGAACCCAAACCGGGACCCCAGCGAAGAATGGCAGCAGCTTTAGCTCTACCCGCAGGAGAGGCCCCACGCATGCGCGGCACGCGTCGGACGCGTGCCCAATCTCGCCCCAGGCAGCCCCGCCCCAGATGACGTCAAATAACAGCCTCGCCCTTCCCACTTAGTGTCACTCAGCCATCCCTATGAGGAGGGGCGTGCGCTCCCTCCTTGGGGGCGGGACCTGCAGTGGGCGGGCCTCTGCCTGCTTTGACCTCCGATTGGCCCTTCGTTGCTTCGCG